TGTGAGCTGTGATGTCATGGCACTCTACCCAGGGGAACAGCTTGAGGCTCTGTCTCAAAAAAAAAAAAAAAAGAAAAGAAAATATACTGGCTCGGCGCTTATGGCACAGTGGTTACAGAGCACCAGCCACATACACTGAGGGAGGCGGGTTTGAATCTGGCCTGGGCCAGCTAAACGACTGCAAGAAAAAATAGCTGGGTATTGTGGTGGTCACATGTTGTCCCAGCTACTTTGGAGGCTGAGGCAAAAGAATCGTTTAAGCCCAAGAGTTTGAGGTTGCTATGAGTTGTGACACCACAGTACTCTGCCAGGGACGACATAGAGAGACTCTATCTTAAAAAAAAAGAAAAAAAAAAAGAAAAGGAAATATGCTAAGTGAAAAGCCAGAGAAAAAAGGCTACATGCTATAGGATTTCGCTGGTATAAAATAGAATTAGCAAGTCAATGGAGACAGAAAGCAGATTAGTGGTTGGCAAGGGCTGAGGTAGACTGTGTGGTGACTGCTTAATAGGTACGGGGTTTCCATTCATGCTAATGAAAAAGTTATGGACCTAGGACAGGTGGTGATTGTAGAACATTGGCAATGTGATTGCTGCCATTGAATTATATTCCTTTAAACTGTTATAGTGCTAAATTTTATGTTATATGTATTTAATGCAATAAAAAATGAATGTCTTGTCATTTTAGGTGGTGAAGGCTATGTTAACCAGTTTCATGGGAGTATTTCAATTTGTATATAAAATCAGCACATTGTACCCCATAATTGCATTAATATACACAGCTATGATTTAATTAAAAAAAATGTCTTGGTAAACCCCTTACCTCATCCCCTAAAAGCCCACAATAGTTATAATAGTTTACTTTAGGCAGGTAATGTGTGATTGATATTTTAGTAGCCATTACCTTGGTCTGACCCAAGCTTTGGAGGACATATCCTACTTAGGATTAAGTATGCGCTGGGTAACATCCTGGATGGCATTCTTCTTCCATTAGTAATCTCTCCTTTAATTGCAAATCTTTGTGAGAGGTTGCTGGAGGCTGGCTTGTATTGTACTTTTAGTTTCTTAGGTATTCTGACTTCATTTAAGGTATAGTTCATGCTATCAACTGCTCATGCACTTTCTTTGGAGATAAGAGAATAAGGAGGAAAGACAAATGACTGTACCCTTGAAAGGAATTCATTTGTACATTGTTTTATTGTTTATTTTTGGGGGGACTCATTTTGACCAGGGAAAAATTGTTCTATTTGATATCGTTCTGACTCCTGGAGAAGAAAGAATCATTTCTCTCTTTTTTGGTAATAGTGTATTTCTGAGAATTTCACAGTCTAGGGAAATCTAGTCTGATCACAGTCAGACTTATGTCTGTATCACTCAACTCAAAGTGGAATTTGGAGCTGACTCAGTGTTGCGAGTGGCTCATATCTACGAATGCCCTTGACATTTTACACTGGTGAGGCTTCACTGTGTTCTCTGAAAAGACAGAAAATGTTAGGATTGTTATATGGACTGTCTTTCTATTTTATATATATTTTTTACTTTATTAAAATACTGAGTTTATTTCACATGTGTATTTTTGTCTCCCCACTATTTCCAGGTCTGACCACCATATATGGACTGTCTTTAACTTGTAATACTTGAGGCAGACTCAGGAGTAGTGGGTCACATGATTAAAAAATATCTTGCTTTATTGAAAAAAAAAATCCTGACAGTCGCTGCCTATCTTTTTGCTTATAGTGGTGCCTGTGGAGAGGTAAAGCTGGCTTTCGAGAGAAAAACGTGTAAAAAAGTAGCAATAAAGATCATTAGCAAAAGGAAGTTTGCTATTGGCTCAGCAAGAGAGGCAGTAAGTACCTGTTGGTGGATGCTCACCTTTTCTTGACACTTTTTCACAACTTCCCACAACAGTCTTTGGGTGATTATTTCCAATCTCAGTAAAGGCTCTCTGCTCAGATATGTGAATTTGTGAGTATCAGAGAACACAGGAAATTTTTTAGTATCTTTAATCTAAAGATTTTAATTTGGTTCCAAAAATATTTGGTTGCACATAATAATGTACATATCAGGAAGTATTTTGTTTTCCTTCCAAGTTCAAAGTTGTTACAAGATTGTTTTTACAATAAATGAAAGGAAATTAGAGAAAAAAAATCCAGCTGTAATCCCCCTGAAACTCCACAGCTGTTTTCAGTTTTCCTTTTCTTCCTGGTCTTTGTACATATGAATTCACTTTTTTAGATGGTTGAAATCATACTACATATACAGTTTTGTATTCTGCTTTTCCACACTTTTTTTTTCATATAAAAACTCTTTATATAAGCCCACCCTCACCTCCCCCAGTTTTTAAACGTTTTAATGAATTTATTTTAGTAGTCTTTCTATATAGTAGCCATTCATTTAATTGCATTTTTTTAAAGTCCATGTTTACTGTATGGCTCTGAGATGGCCAAATGTATTGATCTTTCCACACATGACGCAACAAAGTAATGTAAAACACACCCCCAATCACATTTTCCTTTGTGGCCAGCTGTTTTTTGCTATTCTACTTTAACATTCTTTAAAAGATCGGTTTCTTTTTTTTCCCCCTAGACAATGACATTCTCACATGGCAAGAAGAATTTCCTTTCTGTGTTCATTCGCTTTTGTTGTAGATCTTTTCCCCTGTGATCCTGGATTTGTTTTACATTTTGGGGGAGGAGAAAATATGTACCAGATTGTTAAAAACTTGGAGTAAGATTTTACTTCTCAATTTCATTCTTCAAATCATTTCAGATTCTTTATGACCACTGTATTATCAGAGTATACCCTGACTTGGTAATGAATTTAATGGCTTACAGGAAAAGGGAGGCTCTTAAAATTAAACATCTGGGTTTCTTAGCTGAAGTCCATTTTACATAAATATGTAATTCTATCTCCTCTTTGCTTGTGGATGGTGGAGCCCAGGAAGTTGAATTACTTGATTCATCCTTATGGAATTGTTACAGAGAACAACTTTAGTATCCTGAAGCTTCCTTTCATCAGACTCTCAGTAAACATGCATATGTTAGCCTGCAGTTGAGGTTAGAACCTGTGTCTGCTCTATTAGTAGACATTTGATTTAACATTTTTCATACAGTTTAGTTAAATACCTTGTTTGTGGTTTTGTTTGTTTCATCATTTTCATGAGTGTAAATAATTCCATAGATAATGACAAATGGAGCTTATACCAGTTAAACATTGTAAAAACAATGAAAATACGCTTGCTGTGGCAACTGGGGCATGTGCTTTCTCTTATCTTAGCCTCAGTTGTCTCATCTATAAAATGGGAAAAATTATAGAATCCAGTTCAGTTGGAGATTCTGAGGCTTATGAGAGATCATCCTTGGTAATAAAGAGCCTGGCCATTTATTGAATATTTATTATTTGCCGAGTACTTTGTAAAGTGATTTTAGGTGAATTATGTAATTCACTGACTTCTAACCTTTGATTTCTTTGTATGAATAAAGCTGGGTTTGGAACTCAGGTAGCCTTTAGTCAACTATGTTTAACTGCAAATATTTAAAAAATTTTCGGTTATTGGCTCGGCGGCTGTGGCTCAAGCGGCTAAGGTGCCAGCCATGTACATATACCTGAGGTGGTGGGTTCGAATCCAGCCCGGGCCTGCCAAATAACAATGATGGCTGCAACCAAAAAATAGCCAGGCATTGTGGTGGATGCCTGTAGTCCCAGCTACTTGGGAAGCTGAGGCAAGAGAATCGCTTAAGCCCAGGAGTTGGAGGTTGCTGTCAGCTGTGATGTCACGGCACTCTACCCAGGGCGATAGCTTGAGGCTCTGTCTCTAAAAAAAAAAACCTTTGGTTATTGGCTCAGTGCCTGTAGCTCAGTGAGTAGGGTGTTGGTCACATACACTGAGGCTGGCAGGTTCAAGCCCAGCCTAAGCCTGCTAAACAACATTGACAACTGCAACCAAAAAGTAGCTGGGCGTTGTGGCAGGCACTTATAGTCCTAGCTACTTGGGAGGCTGAGGCAAGAGAATTGCTTAATCCCAAGAGTTTAAGGTTGCTTTGAGCTGTAATGCCATGACACTCGACCAAAGGCAAGATAGTGAGACTCTGTCTGAAAAAATAAAGGGTTTTTTTGGTTATTATTATTATTACTAATAAACTCTTATATTATCCTATTTATCAAAGGACCCAGCTCCCAATGTTGAAACAGAAATAGAAATTTTGAAAAAACTAAATCACGTAAGTATTACTATAAATGTGATCTACAGTTAAATTTGTTTATTTCAAAACTGTAGGAAGAATGCAAAGCATTTTAATAAACTAAAGCTAGTATTAACCTGGCATCCTTTCACTTGCCTGTCATTTAGTTGAGAGTTTTACCCCCAAATTTTGAGAGGACAATACTGTATAAACATTTCTTAAATTAAATAATTACATGAATTTCTTCCGAGTTCTTGACCAAAAGCCATAGTAATTATTCTATCTCTCAGTGACTTGATTGACTGTTTAAGTTGAGAAGACAGTGCTAATTTTACTAAATTTGGATTAATTATACTTGAAGTTTAATACCTTTAAATGCTTTTTATTTGTAGTTATCCAGATAAATCCAAGGGTATCCTAGAAGTACAAAAGCATCTTATCCTTATATCTGATTAAATGATATCTGTGGCCTTGTTGGCTTTTCTGTGTACCCTGCAATGATAAGTGGTCACAAACCATCAGGGACAGAGTGGGGTAGTTGTGTCTTTACCCTTTCTCCCAGGTGTGCTTTAGAGTTCTTATAATATTAGAATGTTTCTCTTCCCTTGAAAAATGGTAGGATCTTTTCATAGGGTATCCAGGTCTCCTGAGGTTCCAGTTGCCTGGAGCTAAGTAACTATTATTGACTGGCAACATGACTGGGTACCCCACTGGGCCTGCTTCTTTTATTCATGCTACTTGCTGTCCTTGTGTACTTCTGCTTTAGGGCAGTGAGGAGGAAGGCTGGAAAGAGCCAGCCTTCATTCCTAGGTGGCAGCCTTGGATAAGAAATATACTGCAGCCCAGTTCATAACTGCCAAGTCATGGTAGCAGTCCAAATGCTCATTAACTAATGAATGGATTAATAAGTTGTGGTATATGTATACCATGGAATACTATGCAGCTATAAAAAAGGATGGAGACTTTACATGTTTTATGTTTTCCTGGATGGAACTGAAACATATTCTTTTTAGTAAAGTATCTCAAAAATGCAAAAAGAAATCCAATGTACTCAGTACTATTATGAAACCAATACATAATCACCTACACATTCATACAAATGATAAAACACAACTATAGTCCAGGAAGGAGTGAAGAGGAGGGAGAGAGAAGGGGGGAGGGCGGGAGGAGGGAGGGTATTCGGTGGGACCTCACATATTATATACAATGCATTGGTACATTTCAAATCTATTAAAAGTAGAGTATAAATGTCTGACCACAACAAATAAGTAAGTGAAGTGATGGTTATGTTAATCAGTTTAATGCAAGCATTCTACATTGTATATCAAATCAGCACACTGTACCCACAAATGTACACAGTTATGCTTTAATAAATAAAATAAATGTGAACAAATCTCTCACCAACATGGTGGGTTGGAAAGTTTCTTATATGTTCTCACAGAGGAGTGGATAGGTTCTCTTCGGCTGTCTCACCTGCTTGAACTTTAAAGCCTTCCATGGCAGGGGACCAAATGCCTAGTTTTGACCTTCTGACCCACTAGGCAAATGTTCCAAGTTTTACTGTACTTGCAGTTTCCCTCTTGGGAGTTTCTTACTACTTTTTGTTTTTCTCCCTCTCTTTTCAGCCTTGCATCATCAAGATTAAAGACTTTTTCGATGCAGAAGATTATTATATTGTTTTGGAATTGTAAGTTGTAAACTTTAAAAAAATTTATGTTCCCATGTAAATGCTTATAAGTCACCAAAGAATCTAATGTACGCTTGCCTTTCTCACCTGGGTGAGATGTATGTATGTGGTGTAGGGCCTACAAAGTGTGTGTTTGTTGGGTTCATATCAATTCTAAAAACCCTCCCGCATTTCCAAAGGCTGGTGGTACTCTGGGTCTGTGGTCTGGTTTTGAACTGCACTCTTCATGTGACTAGCTGAGTGCCTAAGGGTGGGTTTTATTTTACCTCTTTAAGTCCTGTTTTCCTAGTGTTAAATGGGAATAATGATGTTACCCTTTATATGCAGAGTCCTTTTAAGAATTAAATGCTATGAAGGATGGAAAGCCCCCAGCAAAGCACGTACCACATGTAGGCACTCAGCAGGGGTTGATAATATTATAGTTGGCCATCTGTATCTGCAGGTTCTGCCATGGATTCAACCAACCTTGGAACAAGAATACTCACAGAAATAAAATGGATGGGTTGCGTCTATACTGAATATGTATAGACTTTTTTTTTTTTTT